CAAATGTTTGGGGGGCACATGCGAATTTTTGGGGAGAGGACAGACTTACAAATCTGGTTTACTTGGTACTATGATAGTTGGCTGTGAAACCAGTGACACTCCAACTACTCCTCCCTCAGTGCTTTGGGGTTACACCCATTCCTGCTGCACATTTTCACATAGAAACCGCAAAAGAAAGCCCGCAGACAAATCACAACCTTTCCCATGTTTGTACACCATGACTTCTTCTTCTTCTTCTTTCTTCTTCTTCTCCCTAGCGTTAGTCCCGCGCAGTCGCAGGGTCCGCTGTCTTTGTCAGTCGTCGCCACTTTATCTGTCCAGGGCGTCCTCTGCTGTGGCCATGACTTCACTTAGATCCTTCTTGATCACGTCTCTCCACCTCTTCTTTGGGGCTCCTCGCGGTCGCTTGCCTTGCACTTCGAAGTCCATCGCTGTTCTTATCGGATGATCCTGTGGCCTCCTTAGCACATGCCCATACCATCGTAGACGCTGTTCCCGTACCTTCAGCTGGACAGGGGCAGTCTGCATGACCGCTCTAACATCTTCGTTTCTAACTCTGTCCAGCCGCGTCCAGCCGCAGGCCCACCTCAGCATCCTCATCTCAGCGGAGTGAAGCTGCCTTTCGTGGTTCTTGTTCAGGGGCCAGCACTCGCTGCCGTATAGCATCGTAGGCCTACTACTGTTCGGTACACCTTCCCTTTGAGCGTTCTGGAGCATCTTCGATCACAGAGGATTCCAGTGGACTCCCTCCATTTCATCCATGCTGTGTTGACCCGAGCCTTCACCGCCTGATCCACACTGCCATCAGCTGCCAGATCGCTCCCAAGGTAGCGGAAGTCCTCCACTCTTTCGATGGTCTCACCATGGCCGTCCACGATCGGCTCTGCACCCTCTTCGGAGCTCAGGAACTTGGTCTTCTTGACATTCAGCCGTAGCCCGCCTTCTGCCAGGACCTTCTGCCATTGCTGCACCTTGGCCTGTAGTTCCTCTCTACTATCCGCTATCAGGCGATGTCGTCAGCGTAGAGGATGGTCTTCAGTGGTCCTTCCATGAGGCCCTTCACCATGGTATCGAGCGTTAGGAGGAACAGGAAGGGGCTCAGAGCTGACCCTTGATGCACCCCAACCGTGATGTTTATCTCCTTTGTTAGGCCGTGAGGGGTGCGTATGGCTGCTTTGGCTCCTTCGTACATGTCCTTCACCAGAGAGATCAGGTGTTCTGGCACGTTTCGTTCCCTGAGCGACCTCCACAGCACTGCTCGCGGTAGCCGGTCGATAGCTTTTTCCAGGTCGAGGAACCCCCACCCACGCAGGGTCCGGCGTTTTTCTCTCTCGATACTTTCTCCATCACTTGTCTTGCGATGAAGATGGCATCCGTCGTAGACCTTTCGGGCATGAACCCGAACTGTTCCTGGGAGAGGGACCAGCTCCCGCAGTTTCGAGTCGACCAGTCGCTCGTACAGCTTCATTGTATGAGCAGTCAACTTGATCCCGCGGTAGTTGGAGCAGTCCATTGCGTCGCCCTTCTGCTTGAAGATGGGGACGATGGTACTTGTCCTCCATGCATCCGGCATCTTTCCTTCCACTGTTACCTTGTTCAGGAAGCTGGTGAGCCACCTTATGCCGTACTCTCCGAGCGCCTTCCATGCCTCGATTGGCACCCCATCTGGGCCAACCGCCTTTCCAACCTTCATCCTCCCAAGTGCACACCTAACCTCATCCTTAGTCCAGAGTGCGATGGGACCAGCTGTGGCCTCTGTCCGTGAGTCGTTCTTGTGGGGGAACTCCTCGTTCAGAAGCCCCGTGAAGTACTCTTCCCACCTCCTCTTGACTTCGGCTGGCTTTCTTAGGATGACACCATCGCTGCCTTTTACACTTTTCACCACCCTGATGTCTTGAGTAGCGCGATGGCGGGCCTTAGCCAGCCTGAAGACGAACTTCTCTGCGTTTCTGCTTTCCAACTTCTCGTACAAGGCGTCCATTTCCGTGTTCTTCGCCTTGGCGACAGCAGCCTTAGCGAGCCTCTTGCAACTCCTGTAGGTGCGCGAGGTCTTCGGGGCTCCGGGTCTTCTGCCAGCGCTTGTATGCTTCCTTCTTCTGCTTCACGACTCGCTGGACCTCCTCGTTCCAGAACCACGCTGCCTTGTCTCCTCTGAATCCACCTCGCGTCTCGCCCAGGACCTCCTTGGCACATCGCAGGATGGTATCAGCCGCGCTGCCCCAAGTCCGCTGTATTGGCCCGTTTAGGATCTGGGAGACCGACTTCCATTATCTTTCGCCTGAGGTCATCCTTCTCCGCTTGGTGCAGCTTCCACCACCGGATTCTCCTCTCGGTTCTTACCCTTGTCTTCTTGGGGAGGTCTATCGCAATGTCTGCCAGGAGGGGCCTGTGCTGGGGAGCCAGATCTTCGCCGGGTAGAACTTTGATATCCTTCACAGTTTTGAGGGTTGATCTTCTTACCAGCACATGGTCGATTTCCGTCTGTCTCCCTCCACTGCTGTAGGTTACCTTCTGAGTCTTCCTTTTCGCGAAGAACGTGCTGCAGACTGCCAGATCGTGGGCTGTAGCCAGGTCCAGAACCCTCTCTCCCTCAGCGTTCCTCGTTCCTATCCCTCTACCTCCGTGCACTCTTTCTAAGCCTCTTCTGTCACTACCGATGTGACCATTCAGGTCACCTGCCACGGTCAGGTAATCATCTTCCGGAACCGATCTTATGGCTTCGTCCAGGCTCAGATAGAACTCGTCCTTATCACTTTCGGGGCACCCGGCTTGCGGTGCGTACACGGAGAGTATGGTCCAGTACCCCTCCTTCGTGTCTATCCTCACAGCCATGATCCGATCGCTGATCCTGTTCACAGCGGAGACATAGTCCTTGAGCGACTCCGCTACCGCTATGGCCACACCGTTCCGCTTGGTGTCTTCTCCATTGTAGTAGAGCTTTGACACCTTCCCCGATTTCCCTGGCCTTAGCCCCTTTCCATCGCGTCTCCTGAAGGCATAGGACTTGAATTTTTCTGCGCGTCATCAGATCAGCAACCTCTCGGGACTTCCCAGTTAGCGATCCTACGTTCAGAGTCCCAATTCGAACTAGCTTCTTTGGCCGAGGCCGTTCACTCCTCGGTAGCCCTCGCATACTGACCACAGAACTCGGGCGGGGGTTCTGCGCGCCACTTCCGGGTGACGTCCTAGCTTTATCACTGATTCCTTTTTCGACTTTAGACATATTTGTTGTGACGGGGGTCTTCATCAGCCGGCCTGTCAACCTGGGCCTGACGCTGGTACTAGAACCATTTTTGCAATTTTTGCAAGGCATGGTTTAGAGCCTCGGCAGGGATCGAACTCGCGGTTTTTCAGAGCCTCTTAACCACTCGGCTATCCCTGCCTTACCACCATGACTCTCTTCGAATACTTCAAATGCGACTACCCATTCAAGATTCCAAATGTGACCCCGTGGATCTTTGCTCAGCGGTCGGTTGGATCCTAATTGGAATGTGATCTTTTGCATTTAGCGGTGTTCTGTGTTTGAGAAAAGAACCCCCCCTATTATCCGCATCATCATTGTTCCTTCATGGTAAGTATTCCCAGACACTCAAAAGTATGACCCGCGGAGCTACAGAGTAATCTCCTCGGTAGCGCCCCGAATAAAGGCTACGCGCGAAGCGATCGCCGTCGTCACTATTCGACCAGCGTTGAACTGAGCACGACGAATGTCATATCAACTGCTCCCGGACGTCTCGGCTAACGTTACCTATTGGAGGGTTGCGGGACGACCGCATCGGCCGCTTCCCTATGCTGATATCTTCTGTAAGCTCTCCACGAGGTTGTTAAGCAGACTTTATTAGCTTATGTTTCAGCGGGGTCGCCTCTTTCAGTGCCTAAAAGCCGCTTAAAAGAGCCTACAAAACTATAATAGCCCATTCAATATATCATGCGAGACTGGCTTGCAATCCCGTACATTCCCGGCTTCCCCATTGCTGTGCCTTTGCTCGACGTTTTCTGCCTCGCTCTGCTCACTGTGACTCCACCGTACCATATCCGATTCACATGAAGTTTAGTGTCTTAATTTTTACGCTTTTGATGGCTCCGTTTGCTTTCCCTTTTATTCTCAGCTCACTCGTCATGCCCACATCATCATTGACCGTTCTTACGCAGCAGTTTTATCCCGGGGCTTGGCTTTAATGTTGGTGACATGAGAGAATTCTTTCGTCATTAGAAAAATTTGTATGCAAAGTTTCTTCTTTTTCACTGAAATGCAAAAACGCCAAACATTCGCATCTAGAAGACTATTTATTTCAGTAGAGAGGCAACTAAGCTGTATACTAACAATTCAGGTGATACTTAAAATCAGACGGCTCTCCAATCAGTTGTTGTTCTTCTTGTTCCTGCGCTCTCGTGATCGTCTTTGAATAGTGGTACCACGAGCTCTGGCTTTCTTCGGTGCTGTTCGTTTGTTCTTTCTGTTTACATTAGCAGGTTCGCCGTAACTCTGAGAAGTACCCACATGACCTTCCGGAGCAGTTGAAGGAGCTTGAACCTTATCGCTTGGGCCAACTTTCCAGCATCAACCCTTTCCAACAATATTGGTCCTAGGTGTTTTGCCTATTTGTTCCGCTCGCTTACTTTTACCTCAAACTTTTGCTTCCCCTCGTCCGCAACTGATGCCTCAACCCTTGTTTCAGTGTTCTGAGACTTATCAGGCGCAGTTACTGACACTAATTCAGCAGCACTGGAACCAGCACCCGAGTTCTTCTCCACTGCTATTGCTTCAGTGCTACCTCCATGTGATGTTCCTTCCGATTCTGTATCGCTGACCTTGATTCCAACAGTTAATGATGATCGCGCTTCCTTCAGTCCCAGTAACTGAAGAGGATACTGATGCTTCTGGAGATAGCTTAGAGGAACCAGATGTGGCTAAAGATGCTGCTGCTCCTCCAGAGTGTGGTTCTTCAGCTCCACCAGATGCTACTTCTTTTCCAAAAGCCGAAGCAGTTCCGCTGGCATTATCGCCAGCCGTAGCCAGATTGGTGAGACTCTGTAGCGCCAGCTCTAGGAGGACATGGGCAATACGCTGCATCTTGTCCCGGTTCACCATCTGCTCCTGAGACTCCTGGAGCTCCAGGTGGACCAGGTGCGCCGTCCTTTCCTGGGGGCCCAGGTGGGCCAGGTGGACCGGGCTCGGAAGGAGCTTGGACGTAAGCATCACCATCTGGAATGCAAGTAGGATTAGTAAGTTTGGAACTCGAGTGGTACAAATGCAATGTTCTTCGCGCTGGTCAATCGCTGTACCTGTTCCTCGAGGCCCCCAGGTGGCCATGGCGGATCCGGCTTGGTGGGGGTCCTTTCAGGTGTTCTCTTTCCATCTGCGCCAGGTTTTCCGTCGGCTCCGTTCTGACCTGGTGCTCCATCGGGTCCGGGTGAACCAGGAGGTCCTGGTGGTCCTGCTGTTCCAACTGCCCCTGCTGATCCCGAATCACCGTCAGCGCCGGGTTTCCAGCGGGACCTGGTGGACCATCGGCTACCCGGCGTGGACCCGCCTGGCTCTTCCCGGCCAGGCACTGATGTACTCTATTTTGCAGTCTCTTCATATATTTGAGTATATTTCTAGTGACTCTCACTTGAACACAGCCTTTTGGAGCAGCATTATAGCCCATTTCATTCCCATCCAGTCCTGGGTGACCGTCCTGTCCGGGTAGGCCATTCTCTGCAGGAAAGTCATACTTCGAAGTTTTGGAATAGGTAAAATGATCAAACTGCTTACCTCCCGGAGTTCCGGCTTCGCCAGGAGGTCCAGGTGGACCCGGAGGACATGCTGAAATTTAGTTTGAATTATCGGTGTGATCAATCCAAATTCAGCACTTATACTGGATCTGTGCCCAATACGCATGTCAGCCTGCTTCTCCAAACTTGCGATTGGTAATCGCAGACATATCGCGAAATTAATCAATCACAAGCGTCCTCATATGCACAACATGTCGTCAGTCTCATCAGCCGCTCTAGTTAAAGGACGAATTTACGATGGAAAAGCAACCCATTCCAAATTGAGGTAGAGATGGTGAGTAGTACCAGAAAGAAAGCGAAACCACGAAAAACGGCCCAGAACCGGAGAAATGGGACCCCTTCCTTGTCCGTTGATTTGAGCATTGATGGGACTCTCATCGCTTTGCCCTCTTCAACCCTACGCTCTCTCAGCTATCTAATCACTCGCCACCTATTGTACTACGGCGAGTGATCAGACGATCGGTGGGCGGAGATCGCCGAACTCGTCAACTTTGAGCCATGCTAGATCTCAGAGGTCAAATCTTTCGATGCCGATTGCGTGTCTGTCCCGCACCCTCAAGAGATTCACCGCTCTCCCCACTAGGCGATTTCTCCCTTCTTCGACCTTCGTTCTTTCCGTGCAATCCTCCTTTACAGCGTATTTCATTATAAAAACAGAACAAGAAGTCAAGGTAGAGGTGGTATGTGATGCAGTGATTAAGAAAAACAAGAGAAACGGCCTACAACCCGGGAATTAGAACACCTGGTTACGAGGGTATGCCCCTGCTAGGCCGCTGCGAAACCAGTATCGTCACCCTCCCTTAGGAAGCTTGCCTACCTTTCCCTTAGGCATGTTTCCTTCTTCGACCTCCTCCTTGTCGTAGAATCCCCTCTTAAGTGTTGCCCTAATTTGAACTCACCGTCGGAAATGCTTGCGCCTGCACCGCTGATTGCTGGGCCAGTGGAGTATGCTTGGGATCCTGAATATCACTAGTTCTAGAAAACTGAAAAGCGTAGGCAGTAAAGTCAAACAACTGACCTTCTTGTTTCGAAACGGTTTTTGCCCCTCTTTGGCGATTTCGACGATTAGTTTCGTGTTGCACCGAACGCGCAGAACGCTGCAGATCGTCAGACACTATCTTTTGCCATACATCATTCGACTCTACCTAAATAATTCCTTTTTATTAGAAAGCCGGTCAAATGTGGACATAGAGAATGCGTATCTCGTGCAAAGCTTCATGCTCTAATAGTCAACAGGCCCATGGGTCGAGGAGATGCGATCTTAGATCGTTTCTTCACTTCTAAGTATGTACCTTGCCTGGTAGACGTGAATACACTGTGCGTCCCGCATGCGACAACTTTCGTAGAGTTCGATCTGAAGCTTCAACTTGGGGTACCAGGCCAGGGGCCCATTGCGAGGCACGAAGGTAGAGACAGCGGACGAGTAACAGCGTACTGTAGTGATTTGAGTGAGTTAAATCCAGTATACCGCTGTAAGTCCTATATAGCACTGCGCGCGCCGCGATTCGCCCGCTGACTCTGCCTTCATACCGCACGATGGACCTCCTGTCGGGTACCCTGTTTTCTGCTCTCGTCTGCGCTCTCTTGCGCGAACATTGGTGTTGTAACTAAATATTCGATGCTGCGCAGCCTCTCGGACTCCTTGCTCCTTTACCCGTCACGCCAGCTCGAAGCTTTTCCTGACGTCTTCATAACACGCATCCAGCAAGTACCCTCGTACTTCTGCCATCGTCCTGCCACGAAAGGCTAGACTGATATGGATATTATTGCGCAAAAGTCACAAATTCCTACTTGGGCAAAGGAGTTAGACGCATGAGCAGGAAAACACGTCACCAATAGAGGCCAGCGTCTCGAACATGACCTGCTCAACTGGAAGAATCACAGTGAAGGCGGAACGAAGGTCGAAGAAAGGGAAACTTGCCTAGTTGAGGGACCCGGACGGACCTCCTGAGGGTGCGAACTGACGCGCAATTCGCATGGAAAAATTTGACCTCGGCGACCTATCATGCCTCAAAGCTGGCGGGTCCGGCGATCTCCGCCCACCGATCATCTGATCACTCGCCGTAGTTCAATACGTGGCGAGTGATTAGATAGCTGAGAGAGCGTAGTGTTGAAGAGGGCACAGCGATGAGAGTCGCATCAATGCTCAAATCAACGGGCAAGGAAGGGGTCCCATTTCTCGGGTTCTGGGCCGTTTCTCATGGTTCTTCCTTCTTTCGTGTACCACTCACCATCCCTAGGTTAATTTGAAAAATGGGTTGCTTTTCATCTGAATTCTGCCTTCAAATCCATGCTCATGTTTTTCTGCGGTGCCCATAAAAAGGGAGGAGAAAGCAGAAAGAGTAGTAGAATTTTAGTCATAAAATTAATGAGGGTACAAATACCGCATATCTTTCATTCACGAAGCCTGCTGCATTTCCACCTTACTGTGTAGAATGAGAAAGTAATAATTGCGGTCCCGCGGCGTCGGTAAGAGTTACACAATAGTTATGGTGGTTCGGAAATTTGATATTTTATGTATAGGTCTTTCTACGCAAAGGGCGACAGGATTGCCTGAACTGTTGCTGTTTTCTTTCGGTCAAAACTAATCCCTTAGTTGGTTTGGACCTTGCAATGCGGGCCATTCGCAACCCAGCGGAAATTTTTTTCGAAAGTTGCATGTAATAAAGGGGGCGGAAGTGGTGTAGTGACAAGTGGCGCGCTTACCACGCGAGCGGTCCGGGATCAAATCCTGGGTCGTGAGTCGCCCGGGCCAACCAAGCCTTCCATCCCTCCGGGGTCGGTTAATTGGTACCAGACTTGTCTGTTGGGGCGTTGTCTGGGAGGATAAAAAACTGACTTGTACATCGGCTGGCCCCCGCAAGTCATTGTATAGGCCACATCGCATTCAAACGCCACTACGAATGTACAAATGGAAGTAGAATGCGTGCCGCATCCCAAAAAGGGATTGATCAACGGCAAATGCTTTATCCTTTATCCTTAATAAAAGCCTGAAGGGCCATTTGGATTTTTCATTGAAATCGTCCACTAAGGCAACACAAATTTTGCAAGATTTTGTGAGCAAGTATATCGATTGTCAAGAAAACGAATAGCAAAACCTTGAAATCCGTCATGCTGGTCATGAGAGTCTTCTCAAAGTATGACATATCGACGAACATCCACATGGCAGCCAGTTGCGCCATCACCACAATGGCAGCTGCACTGGTCATGACGAAAGTCAGCATAGTGCTAGACATCCTGACGAGTTCCCTGGAGACGACGGTTAGATATGGTATTAACCACGGATTAGCTTTTATAGTGGCGGAAATCCGTGTTGATCAACTGCGATTGCACAATTGATATGGCGACTGGTCCGCTTCAGCCTGGTTTTGCTAGTCGGCTAGATCGGCTTGACAAGTATGGCGATTTTATCGTAATGGAATCTCTTTCGTAACAAGCCGTATAAAATGGCTGGCGTAGTATGGTTGGCCACTTCTTCTTCTACCCAATACTGTTTAGTCACCGTTGTCCATTCTTTTGGAATACGATTTCAGAGATATTTCTATGATTTAAGTATTTCTATACCAATCATTAGAACTTGTTAGAATTGAACTCCTGAGAATAGTCAGAAAGGGTCGTTCTCCTAGCTCTGTTGTGAAATAAAAATAAGGTATAAATGTGGGTAAGAATATTATCAGTGGGCATAATAATGCATAGGGAATAACTTTCCAGGACTTGTTTTCTAGCGACTTCTCAGGCAAAATCACGATCCCCCTTGCGAGCCATTACTTGTTCCATGCTTGAGTCATAGATGTACTCATACATTAATAAAACCTTACCTCATCTTTTCAAATTGGTTAGAGCCGGGGTCAATAGCGGGGAATGTGGCGCCACATACACGCATAGGGTCCGGGTTCACATACCGGATGGAATCGCGCTCAGGCTCACCAAGCCTTCCATCTCTCCGCGAATAACTGGTACCAATTTGGCCTGAGAAGATGCAAATACTTCAGTTACTCCGCATGTCGCATTCAAATGCAACTATGATTTCGAATAGAGGTAGAACGTGTGGCGCATCATATTCCACTATTACTGCTCCGAAATCTCAAAATTTTATTTTTCGTCGAAACTTTGCTCTACAGGGGTAATTCGATGCCCTGATTACGAATATGACATTCATTTTTGATGCTGGCGCCATTTGGCGCCCAATTTTCCTGCTCGGTCTGCGCCCTCGCACTGGGTTGATCACTATCAGGACTGAGCCCTTGGGGAAAGGGAGAGGCTCAGAGGTGAGGTGAGTGCGCCACTCACCCTGAGATCACACACTTCAACTTTTATCACATGCTTTGTGCTTTACCCATCTCGGAGTCCTCCTTCTCCAATAAGCTTGTCTTAAGCACAATGTGTGAGTGACAGAGCCCAGGAGAGCAGAAAAATATGTATTAGAAATCGCCAATTTCCAAATGCATATTCGTAATCAGGACACAAAAATGAACCCCTATGTACAAGTTTACACCGAATTTCGTGAAAACAGCCTTTCGTGACAAGGTGGCGCCAACTGGCGCCAAATGGCGGCAGCATCAAAAATGAATATCTATACTCGTAATCAGGGCATTGAATTACCCTTATAGGCAAAGTCGACGAAAAATAAAATTTTTGAGATTTTTGAGCAGTCATAGTGGAACAGGGCCTAGCTTTCTTCAATTGTCATGTGTTTAATTATATCAGAATAATGCACATCCGGGAGGAAGTTGTACAGTGGCAAGTGGCGCTGCTTGGTGTACTGTCTGATGACCGAATCCTGGGTGCTAGGGTCAAAGAATTCTTCCTTCTTTGGGATCGTTAATTTGATTAACCATTACTTGTCGCGGGAGACCAGAAATCATAGTGACTTGTACATTGGTCTATCTGCCTCACGTTGATTTGCATTAGACCAAGTCGGCGTCTTTGGAAATTACGAATGCTGTGGCATGCCCTTTTAGATGCTCTTGATGGCTATTGTGGCTATGGGTCGCCAAGTCGGCGACAGTGATGCGTGTTGTCGCTAGAAGTATACGCGGGCACTGTAAGGATTCTTAAGTTGGTTTCGAAGGGTTCATTACATCCTAAAACTTAGTTTTGGAAAGCTATGAAATATTTATTTTATTGAAAACCTTAAGAATGTTTTGAAATTATCTTCTCGGAATCTCATTTTACTGCAACATTCGTGTCGAACTATTTTTCCCATAGTTTTATTTCAGCGTTTTCTCCTGGAATGTCGACGAAGGCGTTGATTGCTACGGGTCATGTGTGAGCGCCATAGCTATCGCGGTCTCCATATGGTATATTGTCACTATAATAAACGACATCAATCGTTTTGTTGATGACGTCACTAAGGATCTGGACAGCTTTAAAGTTAGTTTTTGGTGTTCATATATCCTCTTAAAGATATGCACAGGTGAAAGGATAAAGTCCCCAGAGTACCGTAATCGGCATGCAGCAGCTGCTGGCCCCATTTCTGTACCCTCATAGTTCCTCATCACTGGTTATTAGGCCAACCGACCGCAACAGTGTTCTCAGGATAGTAGGATAGGAAGCGCGAGCTAGATAATTGAGGGACTGTGCATCATTTGAAGACCACATTTCTTTCACGGAAACTTCCCTATTTTGAAAAATGCTTGTGCATGACGTATCTCCTAGATCGATAAAGCGGATTTATTCGTAAACTTTGGCGTTTTACGCCTTCAAAATAACGGTTCTAGGAGAAAGCCGAGGATGCCTGGCAAGAGATGGTGCCAGCATCGCGTTCCTACACTCCATCGAAGTTCGAGGTCCTTCTGCGCAAAGAAAAACGTCAGGTCAACTCAGCAGGTAGACAGTGACATCAATTAGTTTCGGTTCCCTTAGTTTGCTGAGGTACGTAGTAACCTGAATGGATGGAAATCCACTCTTTCCAGGGCAACAATGCCAATGCGGCCCTCCACCGCCAAACTGTGAGCGCGGTCCTCCTGGGCCTCCAGGAGAGCCTGGAGAGCCAGGACGTGAGTCATTCTTCAATTCGTAGAAAATTGGTACGGAATATAGTGTTTGTTAGAACGAACTCAACCGTTTTAGCCGATGGCGAAAATGGCCCGGACGGAATACCCGGAGTTCCTGGAATGTCGCGCATGGCCGAAATGTTCCCCATACTGAAGTCGTGTGTGAAGTGCCCGCAGGGAGGGCGCCAGGCCCTGCTGGACCAAATGGACCCCCTGGACCCGCAGGACCTCCTGGATCTCCTGGCAGGGGACGGACTCTCCTGGGGCGCTTGGTATTGCTGGACCGCCAGGGCCACCAGGAGACGCCGGAGAGAATGGATCAGCAGGGGCACCGGGAGCAGATGGACAACCAGGTGCTCCTGGCGCCATGAATATGCCTGGGACACCAGGACTGCCTGGACCTCCTGGACCACCAGGACCACCTGGTGCTGTCGGTCAAGCCTGGAGCGATCCAGTAGGTCATGTGTCATTCTTTTGCTAATTTCATGGCTAGTGCAGACATCAGTAATTTCATTACATATATCAATTTTTCATTAGCGCGTAAGTACTATGTTTTAGGACCTGGAGTGCTGGTCCTCCAGGACCCCAGAGCCCAGGACCTTCCTGAAAAATCGAGGCACTACGGCTACCATTGGAGTTGGAGGTGGTCCAGGGGCGGATGGTGCTCCCGGAGCAGATGCAGCTTACTGTCCTTGCCCACCTCGCACAGGTGCTGGTGGCGAAAATTCTGGATATGGACCTGATGGATCAGTAACAACCGCCGTTAAGAAAGATGTCAAACAGGCGACGAATTGATCACACATACTGCGAATGCGCGAATTCAGAATAAAAGTTATTATCATATTTTGAGTGGTTCCAAACCTATTGCAGAATTATTGCCGTGATCATGCTTGATTGTTGCTTCTAGATTCTCGATCCGAAAAGCGACATCGTTTGAACAACCAAATAGAGAAAAAAAGCACGAGAGATAGGTAACAATTCATTGGCTGAAGACACTTAGAGGCACAACCCAGGGCAGGTCGTGTGAACGATTTTCTTCCATCCCTAGAATAGACTACGAGATG